AAAGTTTGCCATGTGACGTGGGACGATTTCGTGTTTAATTGTGACCGTAGTGTTGTCGAGTAATACAGGACGAACTATTGGGTTGTATTTTGGTGTTCTGGTTTCAAACAATTCGTGAACAAGTGCATACGGGTTACCTACAACAGCTCCTGCAATAGATTATACATAGACTTATTCGTAATAATTAGGTACGAACAGCCTAAAAGTAATACAGTACAAACAAAAAAATGCTTGCATAATAATAAATCTAATGATAATGTAGTGTCCTTTGTTTATCAATTAAAGAAATTCGGATTCAGTCTGCTGGGCCCATTGCAGCTAGAGTTCCTATATAGAGATGGCAGCCATCGATCAGCGCCTCCAATTGTTCATTCACCATCAATTCCCTGTTTCTTTCCAACTAATAGTTCTTTTTAGTACATGCAGTAAATTATGCAGACTTAACGTCCCATCAGAAGTACGAGGTAATGCGGGTACGGGGTCTTATCCAATGAAACAAATAAGAACATCAATACCACGGGAATAACTTCGATAATATAGGTCGATCACGTAACCGTTACGTTATCTCGCCCGCTGCAATAATCGTCCTCTAATAATATTAATAATAATAATTATTATTATTAATTGTGATATTTATAACAAAAATTATCATCACCATTTTCATTATTATTATTATTGATAATTATAGTTATTAATTAGTATTGTATTAATATTTGTTATTATTATACATTATATCAATATTTGACTGTTACTATAAACTAATAATATTATTACTCTGTATTATATATATATATATATATATATATATATTTATATATATATAATTTTTATTGTTGCATGATGGTACAGCAGATGTTGTATGATGACGTCATTCTGCCATTACTTGCTATACAGTATGACATACCTAAATTATCTGATACATAATTCCAGAGATGCGCTTGTACATGTCTGGATTGAAAAGTGTTATCTTTCTGACTTATCGGAAAGATAAAATACGAACAGATTCAATGGATACACTCGCATGCAATATATCACCGGTTCTTCCTGCTAATCGCTAAGCGCGTATTCATATTTTTTGTATCGCGTGACCTGAACCGTGTGGTCGTTAAACTGTTAACAATCCGAATTTTGTAGTAACGAAATTCACGAGAGCCTACTATAGATGATAATTACCAACATTCTCTCATCTCCTATTCTAGACGATACATAGTATAAAGAAATGAAAAGGGAAGGAAAGAAAAAGTCAACTCAAAAACGAGAGAAATTAAATGAAGAATAAGAACAAATGAAATGAAAAGAATGGAAAAAGAAGAGAGATAAAAATATATAAAAAGGAATAAGGAGAAAATGAAATATAAACTAATGGAAAACAATACAAAAGGTAATGGAAAAGAAAATTAGAATACTTCATAAAATTATAATTACATCTAACTAAATAATTAATAATACATATAAATTTAGGTAAATCGTAAAATTAATAAACCTCACAATTTTATTGCTTTTCCAAAAAACTCCACAAAATAGAGGGAGAAACGCCCTTCCTTTCGTCATATGTCACTGCGTTTCGGAATAGTAGGTCTATGCCTATAGATAGCACAAAACAACTGATGTATACAGTCTCATCGTACTAAATACTCAGTATGTTCCCAAATTTTATTTTTGCGAACAAATCTCGCAAATTATATGGGTGGGAATCGAACCCACGACCTCTGAACAACTAACATAGTGTCATAACCAGTAGACCACTGAGCTTGCGCTTACTGGATAGTCTTGAATCCGATCCTCAAGGGCAAACATCACTCTCATGAAATTTACTGACGCAAACAACTTTGAAAACTGCTGTATTATTATATATTGTTGTCGGAAACAATTTGGATGCACACGATAGACCCCAACGGCTATTTATTCAGAGTCTCCTACTTACTAGACTAACAAACGCCATTTATTAAGGCAATTATGAAAAAATGATGGTATCAAAACCTACAGTCTACCATTCAACATGGTTATTGATTTAATGAAAATTACTTAAACACATGTAGGCCTATATTTATTTAGGCCTAGGGCATAAATTTATTTGTAGTTGTAATGTAAGCGACCCGATGATAGAAATAATAATATGTATTTATTTTGATTAATTCAATTTCAGCCGCGCATTTCTACATACCGTGTTATTATGATCTGATTTAAACTGTATGCAATATCTATGTATAAATTATAAGAGTGTGTCTTTGCCTCATTTATACTTAGTTGGTATAGCAACCGAACAAACAATTAAACTACTACTGTCTATTACCATTAAACTACCATTGTGTATTATACAATATTTTAGAAATATTTATACGTATATTTTTTTTCTCTTTAGTTGAGACTTCTAACCTTTATTTCAGCATCTTTTTTTTTTATTTTCAGTTTGTTTATCAATTAAACAAAGTGCAGTAGCATACAGTATTAATTAATCATAACCCTACGTATTTATTTGTAGGCCTATTCATTCTACAATTTCGCCCGCCTATTTTGCCAGTGGCGGATCCAGGAATTTTAAATAGAGGGGACCCAAAGAGGGACTTTCACAGATGGAGGGTCTATACTACCTCAGCCTGACCATGGTTGGGGCTGAGGTAAGAAAATGTATGACTATGGCACTAGATAGCCGGAAACTCAAAATTTGAGTAGAATTTTCTTTTTTTCTCAATATTTTTTAAATTTTGAAAAAAAATTAGGTGGTGGGGGGAGGAGCTTCCCCCCACCTTGAATCCGCCACTGTTTGCAGTATAGTTTGTGTTTAAACTATGAATTGCGTTTATGAAATATCTTGGGGATATATTACATCCTCAAAAATTTAATTGAAATAATAAAAGGGAATAATTTGCCGAAATTTTAAATTTAACTTTATACTATAGGCATAAAAAAGACGGTTTACTAAAAGCAGGGGCGGATCCAGAGATGTCCAAACGTGAGGGGGGTGGAGTGGGCGGCGAAATGGGGGGGGGGGAAGCGAAATTTGGGCCAATCGAGTTAACACTACCCTAGGGGTCCTGGCGCCCCGCCAAATTCTAGGCGCTCGAAAATAACATCTGGTGCGTTTTGAGGGATCATTTTTTCTTTTCCTTTCTTTCTTTTTTTATTCTTTTTTTTTTTACCTTCTAAAAGGGGTGGGGGCGGGGCCGGGCCGTCCCACCCCTATATCAGCCACTGAAAAGTCAAACGTAAATCGTATTTTGTTGAAAACTGAATATCTTAAACTCGCATCGATTTTAGAAAGTTCGTGTAATGCCATAAGCATCGGTTTCAAGGCATCGAAACTAGGTAGCACTTTTAGCAAATAATTCATTTAGAACCAATCTCTTAATTGTATATGATGCCCATACTTATATTTGCTTGCATTAGTGTTGTATTCATTCGAGTTATTGATCAAACTTCTTGTCCTGAATCGACGGTATTATCTTACACAAGTTACTCACACCTCACGGAGATATCAGGCTAATTAGCTTATACAACTCAGTTCTAAATGTACCACAATGTATTAGTTAAACGTCAGGTTATACCATAGAGAAAATAGAACAGTTCTATGTTCTATTTTCTCTATGGTTATACCGTATTCTTAAACCACGCATGACAGTCAGTGAAGGCTGGTGCCATTTGTTCCAACCGGCGGCAGAGGCAATTTACAATAGGAATATTCGCTATAAAACTATAAGTGTCAATTATTAATGTTTACGGATAATATCCGTGAGTTTTTCTTTTAATCGAGCTTTTCTAAGTGTGTACTGTTTCTTAAATTAAATTTTATTGTAAACGAATGCCTCAATTCAGCATTTTGGTTTGGCTGAAACGGAATTTGTATTAGATTGTGTCGTGTTTGAAAATTAAGATAACGATTATAATATTTGTGTCAAGAGGTTTACATTACTACGTGGAAGTAATTGAAACGAAAATTATTTCCTCGCCAATAAGCTGACGTACAACTAATATTGTTCATAATTTTTTTTCATGGGATATACTCGATCGATGATACTCCAAAAATTAGATAAAATTGCACTTTGATTTGCAATGGCGCTGTATAGTCTGTAGAGACACATCT